TATATATCTTATAGTACCTGCAACAGTTTCTTTAAAAATCAAGGAAAAATTTGCTTTGTGTATGCACAGTACATTTAAAATGTATCTATTTTTAATTTCTGGTTATACAGAATTGCTAAAATTGAGTAAACAAATATAGGCTTTATAATACAAAAATATAATTATTTTAAGATGGACTGATTTCATCATTAGGAATGGAAGTACTTCTACTGAGTGTTTATCAGAATGATGTTTTAGTCAGTAATCTAAATACATCTAACAGTTACTCTTTGGTGATACAAATTTTGCAAAGTTGCTAATTTTTTTCTTTAATTCCAGATAATTTAATTATACATTATTTATTAGGCATTGGTAAGCAAATATTCACCAAAAATGTACATTTATTTCTCAAGTTTCTACTACACCTATGCTTATTGTCCCTACTGCATCTTAATGAATATCCTTTTTTGCCTCAGCTTACTGAGACACTGAAATTTATTTGTGTGGACTGGTAAAAAAAATCTATTTAAATAGTAAGTAGACTGGTTAGGATATCATGATGATGATGATGGTTAGGATATAATGGGAAGCTCAACATAAGATGTGACAAAAGATTAAAAGCAAAAAAAAATTGTTTTACTGCGATACCTGATTTTTGACTATTTACTTCAATTACAGATATTTACTTTCAATACAGATTACAGACCTATAATTTTTTCACACAAGGAGGTCACAGCAATGATGAAAACTTTCAAGAGAATTAAAGAAGCATCTACAGATGTATTCAGCTCCTATTTAAGTAGTAACACTAATCTTAGTACATTTAACTCTCTTCAGACTGGTACTTCACCTCAAAGACTCTCAAAAAACCCTTCACATACAGCAAAACTTTTGTGCAGTTTTCAGCACAGACACCTTTCTGCTTTAAAAGGATTGTGGTCTAAGTGCTTGGAAGGATTCCTGCCAGCTTAGCAACAAAATGAAGTGTTCCAGCTTCACTGTGTACCTGGACAACGTGAGTAAGGGATCAAAGATTAGCTATCAACAGTTTAGCTCCATTCTACTCATCGCCAATACTTATTTTTGAATTATATTCTAAATATCAAGACAAGCAGTGGGGCATTGACCTAATAGAAGACAACAGGAAGTTGCACAAGCAATGGTATTGCCAAGAAGAGACAAAACACGGTATTTAATTCACTTATTCACTTTAAAACTTCATGGTTCTGCACACTGAAATTATATGACTGCTTCATATATGCTCAACAGAGCTCAAATGGAATAATCAGGCTAACATCACTTTTAATTAGGAGATTTCTGCTTTAGGATTGACCTCGTAAGGACAGAGAATGAAGACTACATATGCTTCAGTTTCTTTTATAAGATTTTTTTTTTCTAAATATTCCCCCAACACTGAGAATGAAAAAGCTAATTTATCAGTATATAAAGCCACATCCAACAACATTGCCACACATTAACTTGTTGTCAGGGGACAGTAAAAAAATATTTGCTTCAAATATACCCCAAAAGTTTCAAAAATTAATAAAGAATATGTCAGTAATAATGGAGACATATTTTATAAGACAACAGACAGCAAGGACATGCATCAGCGCCTAAACCGACCTCTGAAGTGGTAGAATCAGCTCTTTTCTACACAAACAGGAAAATATCTTCTTTCTGCATTATGCAAAAACAATAAGTCTCAGAACCAGAAGGCCAAGATCATGTCTTCATCACATACTGCAGTCAGGTTTGATTTCACATTTTTTTTCAAGATTTACCCTCTCCTTTGACTCCTACATATCCAGTTATATCCATAGGAATTCTCTTATTCCACAGGAAGATGTTCACAGCAGAAATAGTTTGCGAAGCCTAGCCATGATGATGATGATGAGTTCCAACAGCTTAATATTTCCGGCATCCTTGTCAGACATGACCAGCCCCATAGCCCAGACTGGCAGACTGGAAAACATCTATGCACCTTTGTTGGTATAGCAGGATCACTCAGTTGTATGACAAACTTCCAATGAAAGTCAATTTAAAGCTAAGCCTGTGTTGAGGTTGAGGTACCAGACATGGTAGATGTGGGAACAACACTATGACACATGTGGTATTTTCCTTATCAAGCAGTCAGATCATCTCTAACAGCTTTAATTGGAGAAGGATGAATATAACAATCCACTTCATCTTAGTCAAAATCAACTGAGAATTTGCTTAACAAAAGAATTTTTCTTTCTGAACTTTCATCACTTCTCTGACATATTTTCAGCACCATGAAGTGAGGAAAGTCTGTCCCAGCCAGGTGAACCCACTTATCCATCATCTTTTTCATTAAAGGAGTTAACTGCAACTTTCAAATTGGGGAACTTAGGAGTACAACACTCCAAGAAACACACACAACGCACAAAGCTCCCCGGGGCGCTGAGATGCCAGAATGTTCTTCCAGAAGTCTAAGGAGAACCTGTACACTGTTGATGTGGGAGACATCAGATATCAAACTTCTCAGACCTCTGTCTGTCCACTTTTCACTGTACCAGCACTTACTGGTCATGTCAAACCACTTGTCTCAGCATCCTTTCAGAGTCAGATGATGAAAGCTCCAAGGTGCAGAGACTCACCACACTGAAACGAGCAGTAACAGACCCATCTCTGACTGCACTTACACACAGTCAACACATTGTTGGAGAAGTCTTTTCTCCAAGTGAATGATCATTTGAGGATTTTGGTGCGTAACTTCATAAGAGCACAGATTCTATTACCCAAAACAACCACAGGACTGTTGACAACTATCATGGTGTTAACACTGCCAAAAACTATACTTGAAAAATTTTACTTTCATGGGCATCAAATTCAAACACACCACGGTCTGCTTTGCAGCATCAGACTTTTCGAATACTATGCTGCACATCTGAGCAGTCTGCCCAGTGCCAAATTACTGCCTTCATAATGTCAATACACTTTTCAGACAACGAACCCCTGAAGCTGTTTGCACCCAAGATTTGTCACAGCTGGTGATGATGGCTTATTTCTGTATAAGACTGCAAATATCCCAAAAGCTCTGTGAACTACTGAACATCGTGAAGATGCATGGAAACACAAGTCACTTGAGTGCACAGCATATATATAAAAATCATGAAAACGCTCTGTTGTATATAACAAATTGCAAATTAGTGTTAAACTCAGCCAATCAATTAATTACAAAAGAAAGAAAAGAAAAAAACACGGGTTAATCATCCACATATTTGCCTTGACTACTGAAAGTATTATTCTGAAGCATTCTTGCAATTCATCTGCTATGTAGAGTTGTGATAGGATCCATTAAGACAAGTCTTGGAGAAAATAATGTAATACTCATAATTTCTCACAGGAGATACAAATCTTTAGAAGCCCATGAACCCACCCCCACTGTCTGACTTCTCAGAATGTTACACTGCATTAAGTGTACTAATTTCTTTATTCCATTTCACTAGTTGTTTCTTCCAGTCTTCTGAACTTTAGTGGTGCTGATCAGACCAAGGAATGTGCTAACACTCCATAGCCAGGTGACTTCTGCATATAGAATCATAAAGGTTGGAAAAGACCTCCATGATCATCAAGTCCAACCATGAACAAATAAAACCACACTCACTAAACTATACCGCAAAAAGCCATGTCTACACATTTTCTGAACACTTCCATGGAAGGTGACTCCATCTTAAATAGCAGTACAGATTCAGTGCCTCTATCAGAATATGGATATGCCATTTTTGACACTGAAACAGATGAACTACGCAAGGAGCAGGTGACAGCTATTCCCGCTGACATTGATAACCCAAAGTTTCCATTGCAGTAGGAAACTATTACATTAAATACTATATTATCTGTTCATTTATTATATTTATTTATTTACATTATTTAATAAATATGTTAATGTTATATTTTATACATTCTATTTACATATTCTTGTCATTATATACATTGTATGTTTTATTACTATACACGAAATTAATTATATGCATTACAGGTAGAATTATTACATAAAGTTATACTTGTATAATATTATAGAAAAATATTCTATTTATTTAAATATAAAATATAGATTTATTATATTCTATCTATATATGAACTATATAATTTATACCCTAAAGAACAAAGTGCAAATCACACTGGATAAAGAAACTAAAATAAACGTTTTATCAGGTTAAATTATTGCAATCTACAGCTTATTTTCCCGTGGATTTCACAAGACAAAACATGCAGGCAGCTAACAGGTCTATGACATTTATTACTCCCTAAAAAAACGAAACCATTACAGAAGATGGGCGATGCACACTGGTATCACCAGCAAACTACAGCAAACAGCCCGTAGGCAAAAAGGAATCTCCACCTCCACGAGATATGAAGAGGAAATAAGTTTCGTTTCGTTTCGCGAAACGAAGGAAAAGAAAACTGAAAGGACACGCGACAAAGCAATGGACCAGCCAGACAAAGTATTTAAATGGCAGTCACCGCTGGGGGCTTCGGAGAGACAGTCACTGTGCTGTGGATGGGAAACGATTGGCGTTTACCGCCAACACCTTGGACAGCACAAACAGAATCGCAGACTCAAGTAGGTCGGAAGAGACCTCTGAGATCACCGAGTCCCACCGGGGGCCGAGGAACACCATCCCTCCTGGCAGCACCCTCCGAGGCGCAGCACCGCGCCCGCCGCCGCCGCTTCCCGCGCGGGGGCGCTCGGGGCCCGCCCGCCGCTTTCCCGCGGCTTTCTCGCCCGCCGCCAGGGGCTGCTCCCCGCGCGTCTCCCGCCGCCGCCCCGTCCTGCCGTCCCGCTTCCTGCGGGAGAGGGGACACCGAGGGGGCAGCCGCGGGCTCTCCCCCACGCCCGCCCACCTGTGCCTGCAACAAAGTTGGCGGTGAGGCGGAGGGCGCGGCGGCCCCCCGGCAGGCGGCGGAGGCTGCGACGCCCCCGGCCGCCCCACGGTCCCCGCGCCGCCGGGAGCCTCGACGCCGCCGTGCCCGCCATCGCCCGCCCCGCCGCGTACCTGGCACACGGCGCTGCGGAAGGCGCGGTAGTTGTCCTTGCCGTAGCTGAGCACTTTCTCGTCCGGGTCTGCCTGCTCCCGGCGGCGGTCGAAGAGGAACACGGTGCGGTCCCCGTTGCCGCGAGGGGTCAGCAGCGCCGGCCTGCGAGGTGAGCGGCCGCCTCCTGCTGCCGCTGCCATGTTGGGGAGCCGAGCGGACGGAAACCGTCCCGCTGCGATGGCGGCGCCAGCGGCTCCTACTGCCGCGCCCGCGAGCGCCCCCACCTGGCGCAGCGCAACCCGGCCGGGGAAGGAGGAGGCGGAGCCAGGCGGGAGGCCCGGGTAGGAGTCGCTGCGGAGGCCCGGAAGGGGAGGGAAACGGAGGGAAGGCGGCCGTGGCGGCGCTGCCCGCGGTTCGGGGTGGGGCCAGACGGGAGGGAGAGGCCTGGAACTGAAAGCGCCGCTTTGGCGCCGCGACCTCGGAACGATTTGGTGCCCTCTGCCTCGCGCCACTTCCGTTGCCGCCGCCGGGCGGGGCGGGAGCGGGCAGGGGGTCGGCGCTGCTCCGCCCGGCGCGGCCGCGGGAGGCGCAGGCGGGTCGGACGGTGGGACCGCGTGCCGCGACCGACCCGGCGCGCGGGGCGGGTGGCGGCGCGGGCGGGGCCCCCGGAGCCTTCCTGTCACCGGACGGGCACGTCCCCGCCGCGCCCCGGGCGGCGGCTGTGCGAGGGACAGGCTGGATCTTGCTGTGAGTGCGGCAGTTTGGCTTCAGCCCGGAGGCGCGAAGTCCCGCTTCGTGCGCCTTAAATTAAATCCAGGTCCCAGCGTTGTTGTTTCACAGAAACGGTGAGGTCGGAAGGGACCACAGTGGATCATCTGGTCCAACCTCCCTGCTCAGTCTGGGTCATCCCAGAGCACAAGGCACAG